AAGTTGCTGCACGGGAGTCACATGTAATGACAGGTTTGTGAACCTCACATGATCATCTTTCCAGCTTTCGAGAAGTAGCTTTCAGTTATGCGCATGTGCTTTTTGATGTACTATGTTATAATTCCACATTGCACAATTCCGTATATCTATGAACATGCAGTCCATGTACCTGACACATTGGAAGTTGACCCTTAAAACTTGAGACTTGCTGCTTTCATGCGTGACTTTTTTGATCAGTTCCATTGCATGACCTGCGAGCGAGCTTTGGAGCCCTGCTGCGCGGTCTTCTGAGGGCGTTTGCCTATTCGCTCGTTGTTGCAGGGCATTTTGCTCGCAACCAGGGCAGGCAAAGATGACTACGAAAGACGAATCTTCCATGCGTGCCACACTTGCTGGACTGGGCCGCGAAGTGTATGTGTCGCAGAGAGGTCTCGAACATGTCCTGAAAGAGCTGAAGGACAAGAATTTATTGGTGGATGATGTGCCGTCATCACGCTCTTCTGTGAAAAGAGCGCGTGAAGAAGACTTTCAGTCCTGCTCCAATCGATATGGAGCTTTAGTGCAGGAACTGCAGCTTCCCATGGAGAATGATCCGAAGAAGTTCCGAACAATTCCGTTCGTGCACCCGGCGGCGCTCATGCAACACATGTGCTCCCACCAGCAGTTCGCAGGCTTCCTGATGCAGAAGATGGGCCTCGCCGTTTGCAAGCATGACGTGCCCTGGAAGCTCATCGTATATTCGGATGAAGTGACTCCGGGTAACGCGCTCAAGACCAAGAACCTGCGGAAGGTGCAGTGCGTTTACTGGTCACTGCAGCAGCTTGGTCATAGAGCTCTGGCGTCAGAATCGCTTTGGTTCCCGGTTGTTGCAATCAGAAGCCAAGTTTGCGCCGAGATTGGAGGGATGACAGTTCTATGGAAGCACATCCTGGAGTTGTTTTTTTCAGACCACGACTGGCGAGCAGGCTTGTTCTTGAACACGCCCTGCGGCAACGTGACCCTCTTTGCCAAGTTGGGGATCGTGGTGGCCGACGAACTGGCTCTGAAGCAGACTGTCGAAAGCAAGGGCGCGTCAGGTCTGGTTTTCTGCATGCGATGTTCCAACATCGTGAAGCATGATAACAGCGCGGCCGCCCACAATGCTGCAGTCTTGCCATCCACGTGCACGGATGCCAGCAGGTTCCGTCTGCACACGAATGAGACCACCAGGAATCTCGTCCACTTCTTGGCTGAGCAGGAGGAGCCCAGCTCGAAGAAGAGATTCGGTCAGCTGCAGACGGCCTTGGGATTCAACCATAGAAGGCACGGGTTGCTGATGAGCAACATCGGGTATCAGATACCCGAGTGCATCATGTTTGACTGGTTCCATATATACCTCGTACACGGGGTTGTGGGCCATGAGTGTGGCTTCTTGCTCGGCACCCTCAAGGATGCTGGCGTGGAGGAAGATGCCATTGACAAGTTCGTGGCAAGCTTCAAATGGCCTGTCCAATTTGAGGGTGGCAATGCACGGGCAATCCTCAAAGGAGGTCGCGAGGGAAAGTTCGGCCCCCTGAAGGGTTCGGCTTCGGAGCTGCTGAGCTTTCTGCCAGTCATGAGACTTTACGTGTTGCTCATGCTCTGGAACCAAGTCTCTCATGATGCCATGAAAGCGTGTCGCTGTTTTTTGCTTCTGGTGGAGGTGATAGACACATTACACAAAGCCACTCGAGGCGAAGCAGTCCAGCCAGCAGACTTGCAAGCTGCCATCCGTGCGCACGCGGAAGCCTTGCTTGACGTCTACGGTGAGTCCTGTTGGTTTCCTAAGAATCATATGGGACTTCACCTTGGTGAATTCTTACACAGGCATGGCACCCTAATCTCGTGTTGGGTACATGAGCGCAAGCATAAACTCATAAAACGATTCGCGACCCAGACCAGTGACAC